CCCCATGCCCCCCATGCCCCCCCAGGTGCCCACCTGGCCGTGCCCCGTGCAGGTGACGATCCTCTGGGAGCCCGGCAGGAAGCGCAGGTCCCGGTCCCAGACGGGCACGCGCAGATCCAGCCAATCGTTCCTCACCTGCCACGTTTTGGGGCATTTCGGATGTTTTGGGGCATTTGGGGACAATTTGGGGTATTTTGGGACAATTTGGGGTATTTTGGGATTTTTTAAAGTAATTTTGGGCATTTTTAGTGTCGCGTTTGGGGCTGGTTTCGGGTATTTTTGGGTGTTTTGGAGGTATTTTTGGGGTGGTTTTGGCGTATTTTTTGGGTATTTTTGAGGTTGGGTTTGGGGTATTTTTTGGGTATTTTTGGGGTTGGTTTTTGCTATTTTTAGGTGCTTTTTGGGTATTTTTGGGGTTGGTTTCTGGGTTAGTTTTTAAGCGGTTTTGGGATACTTTTAGAGTATTTTGGAGTTGTTTTTAGGGTATTTGGGGGTGTTTTTGGGGTGGTTTCAGGGTATTTTGAGGGGTTGTTTCTGGAACTGGTTTTGGGGTATTTCTGGGGTACTTTTTGGGATATTTTTGGGGTGGTTTTGGGGTATTTCTGGGGTACTTTTTGGGATATTTTTGGGGTGGTTTTGGGGTATTTCTGGGGTACTTTTTGGGATATTTTTGGGGTGGTTTTGGGGTATTTTTGGGGTGGTTTCAGGGTATTTTAGGGGTTATTTGTGGGGCTGTTTCTGAGGTATTTCTGAGGTACTTTTTGGGTATTTTTGGGGTAATTACTGGGTATTCTTGGGGTGTTTTTGGGGGGGTTTCAGGGTATTTTAAACCTTGCTTTTGGAGCTGTTTCTGGGGTATTTCTGGGTTAGATTTTAGATATTTTTGGGGTGTTTTTCGGTTGGTTTCAGGGTATTTTGGGTATTTCAGGGTAGTTTGGTATTTCAGGGTATTCTGGTTTTGGAGCTTGTTTTGGGATATTTCTGGGGTATTTTTTGGATACTTTTGGAGTAGTTTTTGGGTATTTTTGAGACGGTTTTTGGGTGGTTTCAGAGTATTTTAAGGGCTGTTTTTGGAGCTGTTTCTGGGGCATTTCTGGGGTAGTTTTTGGGGTATTTTTGGGGTGCTTTTGGGGTGGTTTGGGCTTGTTTTTGGAGCTATTTCTGGGGTATTTCTGGGGTACTCTTGGGGTGTTCCTGGGGTATTTTTGGGGTGGTTTCAGGGTGTTTTAGCAGTTGTTTTTGGAGCTGTTTCTAGGGTATTTCTGGGGTAGATTTTAGGAATTTCCGGGGTATTTTTGGGGTATTTTTGGGGTGGTTTCAGGGTACTTTTGAGGTGCTTTCAGGGTGTTTTAGGGGTTGTTTTTGGAGGTGTTTCTAGGGTATTTCTGGGGTAGATTTTAGGTATTTTTGGGGTGGTTTCAGAGTATTTTAGGGGTTGGTTTTGGGACTGTTTCTGCGGTATTTCTGGGGTAGTTTTGGGGTATTTTTGGGGTGGTTTCAGGTTATTTCAAGGCTTGTTTTTGGAGCTGTTTTTGGGATACTTTTTTGGGTGTTTTTGGGGTGTTTCTGGGCTCCCACTCACGTTCTTGGCACGGAACAGGGGCTCCTGGGGCCGCTGCAGGTCCCACACCTTGAGCCCGTTCTCCTTGCCCCCCGTCCCCACCAGGTGAGGCCGCGTCGGGTCCTGGCGCATCCGGCACAGCCCCGGCCCCGCCTGCAGCTCCTGCAGGGGCTGAAATTGGGGAGGGGTCACCCCAAAAACCCCCCAAAAAAAGATCTGAACTCCCCCGATAAAAACCCTAAAAATCCCACAAAAAATCCCCAAAAATTCCCACAAAAATCCCCCAAAAATCCCCAATTCCGGCACAGCCCCGGCCCCGCCTGCAGCTCCTGCAGGGGCTGAAATTGGGGAGGGGTCACCCCAAAAACCCCCCCAAAAAAAATCCCAAAACCCTGCTCAAAACCCCCATAAAAAACCCCTAAAATTCCCCCAAAAATCTCCCCAAAAACCCCAAATTCTGGCACAACCCCAGCCCGGCGTGCAGCTCCTGCAGGGGCTGAAATTGGGGAGGGGTCACCCCAAAAACCCCCCAAAAAAATCTCAAAACCCCCGTTAAAAAAACCCTAAAAATCCCACAAAAAATCCCCAAAAATTCCCAAAAAATCCCCAAAAAATCAGGAAAAAATCCCACCAAAAAATTCCCAAAAAATCAGAAAAAAATCCCCAAAAAATCAGAAAAAAGTCCCCCCCAAAAAGCCCAAAAAATTAAAAAAACCCCAAAAAATAGAAAAAAATTCCAAAAAAAATCCCCAAAAATTCAGAAAAAAAATCCCCAAAAAATCAGGAAAAAGTCGCCTCCAAAAATCCCCAAAAATAATAATAATAAAAAAACCTAAAAATATCCAAAAGTCAGAAAAAAATCCCACAAAAAATTCAGAAAAATTCCCCAAAAAATCAGGAAAAAATTCCCCCCCAAAATCCCCAAAAATTCAGGAAAAATCCCCAAAAAATCCGGAAAAAGTCCCCCCCAAAAATAATTTAAAAAAAAACAAAAAACCAAAAGTCAGAAAAAAAATCCCACCAAAAAATTCCCAAAAAAATCAGAAAAAAATCTCCAAAAATCGCCCCAAAATAAAACAAAAACCCCAAAAACAATCCAAATATTCTCATTTTTTCCCTCTTTTTTTTCCCGCCGTTTCGCCGTTCCCGGTGCGATTTCCTCGCTTTTTTTTTTGTTTTTTTGGGATTTTTTGGGACCTTTCTGCTTTTCCCGGGCAGTTTTTGACCAAACACCCCGGGAAGAGGTTGGGGGCCGGCCCGGGGGGCGAGCAGGAGGTTCGGGGTCACCCCTTCTTCCGCAGAACCGACTGGGAGCGCCTGGAGCGCCTGGAGGTGCCGCCGCCCTTCACCCCCCGCCCGGTGAGTGAGCCCCAAAAAACAGCCCAAAAGAGCCCCGAAAATAACCCCAAAATATCCCTGAAATAGGACCAGGAATGGCCTGAAATTGCCCCAAAATATCCCCAAAATATCCCCAAAATATCCCCAGAATATCCCTAAAATAGGCCCAAAATATCCCTGAAATAGGACCAGAAATGGCCTGAAATAGCCCCAAAAATAACCCCAAAATATCCCTGAAATAGGACCAGAAATGGCCTGAAATTGCCCCAAAACATCCCCAAAATATCCCCAAAATATCCCCAGAATATCCCTAAAAATGCCCCAAAATATCCCCAGAATCGCTCCAAAAATAGCCCCAAAAATAGCCCCAAAAATAACCCCAAAATATCCCTGAAATAGGCCCAGAAATGTCCTGAAATTGCCCCAAGCAGGGGCTGAAATTGGGGAGGGGTCACCCCAAAACCCCCCAAAAAAATCTCAAAACCCCCGTTAAAAGAACCCTAAAAATCCCACAAAAAATCCCCAAAACTTCCCACAAAAAGCCCCCAAAAATCCCCCCAAAATCCCAAATTCTGGCACAACCCCGGCTCCGCCTGCAGCTCCTGCAGGGGCTGAAATTGGGGAGGGGTCACCCCAAAAACCCCTCCAAAAAACCCCAAAACCCCCATTAAAAAAAACCTAAAAATTCCCACAAAAAATCCCCAAAAATCTCCCAAAAATCCCCAATTCCTGCAGCTCCTGCAAGGGCGCAATTGGGGAGGGGTCACCCCAAAACTCCCCCCAGAAAAAACCCCAAAATCTTCCAGGACCCCAAAACCCCAAACCCTGCTCAAAAACCCCAAAAATCGCCCAAAATTCCCATTTTTGGCAAGTCCAGCCCCACCCAGGGATCCCAACAGGGGCTGGAATTGGGGAGGGGTCACCCCAAAACTCCCCCCAGAAAAAACCCCAAAATCTTCCAGGACCCCAAAACCCCAAACCCTGCTCAAAAATCCCCAAGAAACACCCAAAATCCCCAAAAAATCCCCCAAAATCCCCAATTTTGGCACGTCCGACCCCACCCAGGGATCCCAACAGGGGCTGGAATTGGGGAGGGGTCTCGGGGTGACCCCAGACCCTTGGGGTGACCCCAAAATGCCCCCAGACCCCCAAAACCTGCCCCAAATCCCCCTAAAATCCCCCAAAATCCCAAATTTTGGCAGGTCCGACCCCACCCAGGGATCCCAACAGGGGCTGGAATTGGGGAGGGGTCTCGGGGTGACCCCAGACCCTTGGGGTGACCCCAAAATGCCCCCAGACCCCCAAAACCTGCCCCAAAT